TGATTTACCTTGTAAGACTGGACTTGGGCATCTGCCTTCCCTGTTGCCTCAATAACACTCTCAGGCTTGATTGACTGAAGACTGTCACTGAGGCCACTTTTGGTAGCAGGGATGAAAATTTAACCCAATCTAATTCAAACAAAAAGGATGTTTATTGGCTTCCTTAGTTGAAAATCAAGGGGTGAGACCAGCCTTACCCTTAACTGGATTCAAGATTCAGATGATGTACTTGGAACTTTGCTTCTCTCCACATCCTCCCTCTGTCACCCTCTGTGCTGGCTCCAGGATCGGGTTTTGGGTAAGGTGGTGGATTCAGTCCCCAAGTCCCTTTAAGGAAAAGAGTGAGTTTTCTTCTCAGGACTCCCAAAGAAATTCTTTATTACATGTCATTGGCTCTAAGAGGGACACATGCTTATCCTGAACAATCTCTGTGGCCCAGGAAATGTGATCAAGTGATCTAATCACTTGCTCCTCTGAGACCCACCCAAAGCACATGGGTGTAGAGTAGAGGAGAGGGTGAGTAATTTTTAGAATATAGGTTGAACTGTTGGAAGAAAGAGTTTAAGTAAGATCGACTAAAGCAAGACAGAAGTTTCTCTCTGTCAACTAGTTGCTCTTTCTATCAACTAGTGCCCTCTACTGTCACAGAATTTCTGCTGCCTGGATACCTTAAATCACCAAGGCCCCAGCTCCTCCTGGTGGCATCTCTTAATGCACCTTTCTCACTTCCTCTCTTGCAGCTAACTGCCTCATTTCTCTCACCGGTCTGCAAGTAAGCAGCTTGGGGAGCCAGGTTTGTTCCCTATCTTTTGCTTCACTATCCCTAAGTATTGTGTATTTGTGTGGTTTGAGATGTTTCACGACCTCTACCATCCAGCAGTAGAAACAGGAAAGAGGAAAGAGGGAGGCTCACTATTTCTGGTTAGATGCAACACCTCTCCCCATTTCAGTTCTACTGCTCAGTTTTTTGCCAAACAGAGCTTCCAGGAAGAAAAGCAAATGTGGCCTTTTTTTTCTCTGGATTCCCATGTCCCTAAATAAAAAGTAGGGATTCTTTAGACACAGGAGATCATGACGATTAGGGGACAACTAGCAGTCTCAGTCCCAGTCTGTCCCTTTGGCCAACCCTGTCTGTGCATCCCTTTCTTCCAAAGCTATGAATGCCCTCTCCCTGGAGCAGACAACATGAAAGTTCCGTCCAGTGTCTACACACAGCTCCCAGCCTAAAATTTGGGTACTGACAGCCTGCAGTGTTGGGTCTGCATGAGGGTCTTCATGGTGTGGTGCCCTGTAAACTCATATACAAGCTATCTGCCTCATCATGTTCAGCACCCAACATTCAGTAAGAATAGGATAACACAGTAGGAACTCCCATCCAGAAGATGGTAAAATGGGAACCCACTGAAGCCACTGGTTGGCCACTGACATCAAATCCTAGTGGGCAGAAATTGTGAAGATTTCCAGGAGGTGGAACAAATTTCCTGACAACGGCCCTCTCTCTTCCGACACATTCCCTTTTTGCTTAGCTTAACCAGAGTTGTTTCCTGTTGCTTGAAATCAAGGAATCCTACCACACAATATAGCATATTAAAAAAACAAACCAGAAAACAAAACCAAAAAAAATCTCTCCTGACCTCACATCCCTTTCCAAAGGGTACCTTTCTTTCTGCTCGCCTTTATGGCCACGCCTAAAGGAGGTGCTGCACGCTGTCTCAGTTTATTCCCACTAATTCATCCCTCAATCCACACCAGTGGCTTCTGCCTCCATCCCGCATTGCAACTGCTTGTTCTGAGTGCCCTGTGTTACAGCAATGCCCCAGTTGCCCTCTTTCCTTTCTGGCAGCTCCTTCTTAGTCCTTTGCCACTTGGTTACTCACATCCAGGTCCTAGGCCATCTTATGAACACTCTCCCTGGAAACCTAACCCATTCCTGTGACTTCAGGGACCCTGAGCCCATGATACCCAGACCTCCCAGGAAACTGGTCCTGTATGCGCAGCTGGCCTCTCCATTGGCATCTTGTCCATTGCAGTGTGCCCCACTGACCTCTTGAGCGCACCACACTTGCTCCTCTTCAGTCAGTGTTCTGAGTCTCAAGAAATGGCACTTGGCGCATGCATTCCTAAGCCAGAGCCTCCTTTCTCTATCAAAGCAATCAGCAAACCCCACTGCTACCATGCAGTCCTGGCTTGTATCTCCAGAACCTGACACAGGAGTAGCTCAATAAATATTTGATCAAATGACTAATAGCAGCAAGAACATTCTACAAAACCCTTGCACAAGCCCCATTGTTCTCACGGCCCTGTGAGGTGAGTACAATTATTGTCATTCTGTAGATGAAGAAACTGATGCTCACACTGATGACGAGTCTTGCTTGTGTGTGTGATCACAGCGCAAATGAGTATCTGGGGAAGCTGGGATTGCAATGCAGGTCTGTCCCCATCTTGGGCTTGCTCTGGGCAGCTACCACAGCCAGGGAAGCTTCCTGCAGGCCACACTTGGAAGACCAGCCTGTCAAGGGGCCAAGGCCATGTTAATGCTCAGAGACCCTGGAGGCAGGTGCTGCAGACATCCAGCGTGGCAAACATCTGCTGACACCCAGCTCCACGCTGGCCTCCCTGAAACACTTGATGTGGGGTCCCCAGACAGCTCTAATATGATCAGGGAGCAGGAGGCCTCAGGTTTGAGTCCTGGATCTGGCAGCAAATGTCAGTGTAACCCTATATAGTTCATCCCTTCCAGGAGCTCAAGTGACTTCCCTAAAAAGGGAATATGAGAATGATTCTGCAATGTGGAAGGATGATCCCTAATACCTGGGCAGGAGCAGGAGTGAGTGGTGGCCTCAGTCAACAAAGCTCTCATTTGCTCTCTTGGGCAGGATCGCCCTCCCAGACTGTGTGTGGTAGGATGGCCAGGGCCTAGGGTCTCCACTTGGATACCCATGTTGGCCCCAGGTGCTCATTCCCACTAGGACAGCCACCTACCAGACTCTGGAAGAGTCTTCTAAGACCCCGCTAGAAAGGGGTACTTAGGGCAGTCTTCTGAGCAGAACCTTACCCATTCCACCAGTGACAAAGCCCCAACTGACGCTGTAACTGTCCATGAGGAGAGGGGCAGAGGAGGTAGCTTCCAGCCAGGCCTTGAGCAGCATGATCTCAGGCATGTGGGGAGGGAACATGAAGGCAGGAGTGCCTGTGTTAAAAGCCAGGTGGGAAGTGTAAAGGTAAGACCTGCAGGGCCATGTGCTGTGCAGGATGCATTGGTATCTGTGGTCTCTGCTTCATGAGACAATCTGATAATGGGCAGTTCAGAGCTACAGACAGGATTACTAAGGCTGGGAGGGGACCCACATGCACAGAATGTACCAGGGGGTGGGGTAGGGGTGGCTGGGTGCTAGGTCCAAGCCACACCCACTACACAGTGCTACACACCCCTCCTTTGGGCTAGGTAGCCGGCTGGGGGCTTTGAGGTAGTTTCTTGGTGCATGTTCCTGCCCTCAGCCTTGCTCAGAGGGCTGGGGTGGGGGTTGGGGTGGGAAAGCTTTTTGCAGATCTCCTCCTGATGCTCCAGGCCAGATGCAGGGCTGAGAGAAGCTGGAGAGGTGAGGTGGAGGCCTGAGATTTTCCTAAACTGGAGAAGAAGCAGAGATGATGGCACTGGCTCCCAGGACACTGGACTGAAGGGGTGCAAACCCTTCAGCAAAGGGCTGGGCAAGCAAATCAGGGTTTCCTAGAACTGATGTCAATGGACGAGGATTGACACTGGGACCCAATTTTCAGAGACTGGGGCTCGGAGGTAGGAGAAGCTCCTCTTAACTTGTGGTCCTGGATGGGTAGCAGGAACCCCATGAGGGCATTAGGGGTAGGCTGTAGGCCTGGGATGGCAGCCGCCTGTGGCACGTTCTGTGAGTTGCGCTGGCCAGCGGCTGCTGGAGGTCTGGGGATGCTGAGGGAAGAGAGTGCTCAGGCCCCCAGCGAGATGGGCGGGACCTGGCTGTCCCCGGGCTGAGACTGGCGGGGCGGGGAGGGAGCGAGGGAGGGCGTTTGGGGGTGGTTGGAGCGGCGCGAAGGAGTGCAGGGCTTGGGTGAGGTCGACTCAACCTTGCACACCCACTGCGCACGCCAGATGTTCGGGTCCGTGGGGACAGGCTGGTGATTGAACGCCTGGAGTTGGGTCGGGTTGAGGGGTAAAGGTGGAGCTTGGGACGTGGGCGCGGAAAGGGAAGGGAGAATACAGGCCTTGGGGGCAGGGTTAGGAATGCAAATCTGGGGACAGAATCTAGGAGGTTGGAGTCGTGGGGGCCTGGCGCAGGGCTCTAGGGACAAGTCCTGGAGCTTGGAGGGCTCGTGGAGGCGGAGCTCGAAGGACCAGGGTCGGTCTTGGAGTCCGCGAGAGTGGGGCTGAGGGGATGGCACTGTGAGATCCCGTGTTCGGAGAATGCAAGTCTGCAGGGTCGGGGCTAGGCAGCACCGAGGGTGGGCCCTAAAGCAGTGGGGTCTGGACGGCGGGTCGAGGCCAGAGACTTGTGAAGGGCGGGGCTGGGATTACGAGGACCTGGGAGTAGTGCCGTGTGGGAGGGGGTACCAGGGGGAGCTGTAGACCCGGGTGCGGGGTGCGGTGCTGGACGGGAACAGGGACCGAGGGGGCGGGGCTGTGAGGAAGTGGACTTCGGGGCTGGGTCGGGGCCTGGAGGGTTGCGGGGTTTGGGGGGTTGCCAAGCCCAAGCCCACAAGACTGAGGGGGAGGGTAAGGCTGGGAAGATGAGTGTCTTGGGGTTTCGTTGGGCAGGCCTGTGAAACGGTATCACGGTGGGAGCGAGGCCGAAAAGACGGCACAACAGGGACAAGCCGTGAGGCGGGCCGGGGAGGAGGACTGGGCTGGTGGGGCCGAACGGGAGCAGGGAGGCCGGAGGCTGTGGGTTGCCGGGCGATACCCGGAGCCGCCGGTCGGCGGAGGCGGGGCCGGGCCGCGGGGGCGGGTCCAGGTGAGCGGTGCCCGGCCGCCGCCCCCTCCGCCCCTTCTCCCCGGCTGCCCGGCCGCCCCTCGGCACCTCCCAGCGCTGGCTCCGCAGGCCGGGGGGACGGCGGGCGACGTCTCGGGCCCAGGCCAGGTCCGGCCCCGGCTCCATCTTGGGCCGCTGCGCCGGGCACCTGTGGCGGCCGCAGGAGCAGCGCTTCGGGCGGCCCGGGCGGGCGAGAGGGTGAGAGGCCCGGCTCTGTGCGCGCCCGTGGGCGCTGGGGGGCAGGGTGGGAGGTTGGGCCGTGCCTCCCCGTCCGGCGCCGCACAGCCCCACCTTCACCCCCCTCCGCGCTCAGCCCCTCGGCATCCCGGCCCCCGCCCAGCGCCCAGCGCCCCCGTGGCCGCCTCCCGCCTCCCATCTCTCCTCTCGTTGCCTATCCCGTCCCCTCTTCCAGGTCTCCTCTGCCCGTCCTCCCGGTTTTCGACTCTGCTCAGGACCCCGGCCCGTCTGCCTCCACCCCTGCGTCGGTCGCCTCTTCCCCTCCCATTCCTCCTTCTCTTCCCACCCCACCGCCCTCCTGCCCTCCATCCCAGCCCCTTGGCCCCACAGCTCTGTCTTCCTTCAGTCACTGCCTTCGTGCGGGGAAGGTTTGCAGCATAGTTTTGGGGATCGTGGGCTCTGTGCGGCCGCGGCTCGGAGGAGCGGGCAGGGGACAGTGTATGGTGTGGTGTGTCAGCCTTTGGCCCCTTAGCCAGAGGCGGCCTGTGCGCGGTATGCAGAGCGCAGCTGTGCAGTTGCTGTTTCCTGCAGGCTCAAACAGCAAATGGGCTTGTGTGTGTGCCTCTGGTGTGTCCATGGGTGGCGTGGGCGCTGGTGAGCATGCTGGTAGGGACACACCAGTCACTGGGCTGTTTCTGGTTTGGGGCGGCTGGGCCTGGAGGCTTACCTTCTCCATTCAAATGCCTTCGGGGAAGTGGCCAGTCCCCCTCAGGGGAGGAAGATCTGGGGCTGGTGGGACCCTGGGCCTTTCTCTGGTAAGTAGAGCTGGGTCCTTTGGGTCTCTGCCCCACATTACCCCAGAACTCTTTCCTGGCACAGCCTGTGACCTGGGTATCTTGTTAAGTCCCCTTCACCTGCTCTGTGATGGGCCGCTTTTGCCCCCTGCGAACACTGTCTCTCAGTAGTTCAGAGATGCTCCCTACCATATTGCCCAACTTTGGCTCTGAGCAGTCCTATCAGACCACCTTCTGGATGTTGCCACACCCCCACTATGCATGAGAAATTTGTGTGGTCCCTGAGGGGTAAGGTCCATATTTTGACATTTGGGCATCCCCCCTAACCACCTGGGTTTGCTTTTCTTGTTTTGGTTCTGCTGGAAGCAAAAGTCATCATCCAAATGCCTGTCCATTAATAGAAGGAGACTTCCACGGATGCTAAGTGTGATCTGAGATGGGCCTGCGTGTGGTGCTCTTGGTAGTCCCCTGACATACCCCAAAGGCCTGGACTCCTCTGCCAGGGTTACATGGTGGGAGATGAAATCTCTAGCTGTCTCTTTGGTTGGGTTGCCTGGAAGTTTCTGCAGAACTGGGATCTTTTACTTGAAATGACATTGGTTGCTGTTTGTGAGGCTGGTTTATCCTACCCTTATGGCAGGCAGACTGAGGCAGCAGGAGAGTTCTGCACAGGCTGTAGGGCATGGGCCATATTGAAACTTTGGCATCAAATGAGGCAGGAGAGAGAACATTAAGTGGTCATCCAAAGAACACTAGGGGTCTTGGATACTTCTATATGCCTCTCCTTTATCTTACGCTAAAACATCTTTCCAGGGGCTCTTCAGGGTGAAACTGGAGCCCTTCCCATGGCTTTTAAGGCAAGTGGGCATGCCACATGGAGATTTTAAAATGCAGACTCCAAACTTGTGTGTGTGTCCACATGTGTGTACCTGTGTTCATGCATGTATGAGCATTGCACATATATCCTTCCAAATTAAGGTTTAAAATAGACTGGGACACTTAGTGTGGTGATAGACACATTGGGACACTAGTGGTGATTAGGTCCTAGGATGGATGAAGGTAAGAAGGATAGGGAAGCAAGACTAGACTAACTTACGGGGTGTCTCAGTGGCATCTAAAGGGCCCTTCTGCCCCAGTAGTAGTCCCTGTGACACCTTTAGCACAAGTCATTCCTGAAGGGAGGAAGAAAGGAAAGATTATTATTATTAACAATCACTATCTGATCATCCACATCGCCATCATGTTTAGTCTTCATAATGCTGCAGGGAGGGGATTACTTCCATTCTGCACTGGGGAAACAGGCTCAAAGAGGTTGGGTATCCACCTGAGCGCACATGCGCTGAAGGGGAAGAGCCAGGGTTGGAAACTACCCCCTTGCCCTACCTGCTCACCTGTGGCTACAAAGCTCCTTGGTTGGCTCCCATCACTCCCTGGGAGACCCCTCTTCTTGCCAATAGTGGGAAGGGGAACCTGCCCCCCACACATAGCCCCATAACCTCAGTGGTTTCCCTGACAGCCCTTCCCTCCCTGAGGGCTGGGAAGGCCAGGCTATAGGAGAAATACTCTGCTGGGGTTCAGCTGGGGTTTCTTTCACATTTCTGAGCATCTCCAGGGCTCAACTATGTCACCTGAGTAGCAGACATACATATACACCTCCCCACCCACTGGGGGCTTTGTGATCACTGCTCTCTCTGGTTGATGCCTAGCCCTGAGCACTGGGCAGCCATCTGGTGAAGCAGGCACAGTGGGATCCTTGTCCCTGATGGCTTCTCACTAGATGTCGGTGGAGTTTGAGGACACCCACCCTCACTGCACCTATTTCTTCATGGGGGCCAGGACCTGGCTTGTTCTTTATGGCCCTGCTCCCTAGGAGGGTCTGGGGTAGTGGGGCTCAGCCAGAGACTGTGTAGGCTGTCCAGATGGAGCTTTCTTGGTGTTCTTGACTCCAGGCTGCCTAAGAAGCTGCTAAGAAGCAGGCGGGGTGGGATGGGGGTCCAGGCTTTGTTTCCATTCATTCACTGTTCCACTGGCATGTCGGGGGCACCACTGTGAGTGCCAGATGCTGTGTTGGGTGCTGGGCTCCCATTGAATCAAGGCAACAGATAAGTAAAAAGATAATGACAGCAGCAGGTGATAGCTTCCAGGATGGAAGTCTTCACAGTGCTTGAAGGGAGCACAGGGAACCTCAGACACTCCTGGGTTTGTTCCTGGCTTAGCCACTCACTAGCTGTGTGCCCTTGGGCAAATCACCAAACCTTTCTGAGCTTTGGCCTCCTCATCTGTAGAATGGGGATGATGGTGTATCTCAAGAGCTTATTCTGACAATTAAATGAGATAATGCATCGGAAGGATGTGGCACATACCTGGCACATGGTGGGTGATTGGGCACTGGAAGCTGTCATCATCATCATCATCCTGTTGTTACTGGCTTTGCTGCCCTTCTCTGTTTATGCATCTATCTCTGGGACGGCAGCTCCTTGAGGGCAGGGCCTGGGCAGTAGTCCTCTCTTGACTACTCCTTTTCCTGATTGTTAGGGACCAGCCTGGCATCTGCTTTGGCCCCAAGAAGCAGCCAGAATGGGACACTCCTGCCCAGGCTGGGGCTGTGTCTAGAGCTGCACAGCTCAGCATGGTAGTCATGAAACCCATGTGGTCATATACATTTAAATTACTTAAATTTAAGTGAAATGAGAAACTGAGTTTCTCAGTTGTACTAGCCACTGACCTGTTAAGTGCTCAGTAGCCACACGTGGCCAGGGGCCTATCATACTGGACACTGCAGGGTAGCATGTCTCCTTCATCACAGGAAGCTGGGCTGAACTGGACCCCAAAGCAGGCTGTGAGTTCTCAGGGGCCGGCAGTTCCAGAAACACCCTCATTCTTGGCTCCGCCAGTCACCAGCCATCTCCTGAGAGCTGGGACGGCAAGACATTTGTAGTTATACAGAAACTGAGCTCCTGAGAACTCTTCCCACAGTCCCTTGTGGGTGGCCTTGCTCACTTGCCTGGGGTGGCTGGTTTCCCGGCAGTTCTCTCAGCCCGGGGGGTGGGAGGGCAGGACTGGGATTGCCCAAATGGCAGCGGTTGCCTCTTTCCCCACCCTGCTTCTCCAGCTGGTCCTGCCTGGCAGGGAGTCCCAGAGAAATATTCTTAATTTACAGCTTTGGCCAGGGCCACGCTGGCCCAGATGCCCTGACCCCACTCACTCCCTCTCAGTCCCTGCCCAGCCCCAGCTTGCTGCTCCCCTCAGGTGCTCTGAACACATGGCCTCCCACCTCTTGTTCACCCTGTTTCTCTCCCTAGGCACCTTCTCCCTTCTGTTCTCAGGCTTGCCTTCCATGGCTGGTCCTCCAGGAATCCTTTTCTGATCCATCATGCAGAGTGAGCTGTCCTGCCTTGGAAATGCCCTCCCTCAGACCCTGTTTTTGGTGTTCAGCACTCTCCTCTGTGGGTTCTCTTTGCTCCTTCTCTGGGTCAGGCATATGGCAGACATTCTGTGAGTGCCAGCTGCTTATCAGGTCAGTGCTGGGTGCTGGATGGACACAGGTGAACAGGCTACAGGCCTGCTTTGACAGCTTTAGGTTGGTGAGAGTCCCATAATTGGGCTGGCTGATCCACTCAGGACAGACAGTACTCAGCCAGAGATGGAGCCAGCTCGGTTCAGGAAAGCTTTCCCAGGAGGAGATGCTCAGGTTGAAGGGGCCAGTGCTGACTCTAGGCTGTGAATGGGTCAGTGGGCAGGTCCAGAAGCATCTGTGTGGCTGGAGGAAGGGACAGGAATGACATGGGGGTAGAGGGTAAAGAGGGGGCAGGTAAGGAGGGTGACAAGAGGGAGGTTAAACTTCATGGAGAGTGTGTCTGATTGGTGGTATTGGACCCCATTCCTAGGGCACAGCAAGATCTAAATGAGTTCCATGTCACCCAGGTCCAGAGTCTGGCATGCTGCAGGTGCTCAGGAGAGGGCTGTGGAATGAATGAACAAATGCCTAGTGATTCCTGTGTGTAAAGGGCTGATATGTTGGGCCTATTCCTAAGCCTGGAGCCAGAGGTGGAAATCACCTTTCCCCCTTCACAAGATTGGGTCCCAGAGATGTGGCAGCTCAGCCAGGCTAGGCCAGAGAGGATGGGGAAGGTGGCATGGAAAAACCCAGGCCAATTCTCAGTGTGTTGCTTGCTCAGTCCACAGATTCTCTTTGAGCCTCCACTCTGTACCAGGGATGCCCCATGCAGACCAAGATGGATACTGACGGTGCTGGGAGGGACCAGGCTAGTATTCACCAGTCAAGCTTTACTAGTTATTAAAATATTGCAATACTCCTGTGCTGACTGACTAGGAGGTGTTATCTAAAAGCCTCCGCCCCCAGGGCTGCCGTCCCACCCCAAGGCCCCAGCAGACATGACCTCTTCCCTGGATTCACGCCCTGCCCCATGTCCCTGCCCAGCCCACCATAATCCAGCAGTAAAGGCTTAACAGCTGACATGTGTATCATGGGTGGTGATCTTGGTTTGGAGTATCTGGTGTCCTGCCATTGTTTTATTTATGACTGTGATCAGTCAGGCAGGCCAGAACTGGACAGCCCATCCAGTGTGCTCAGCCCCGTGTGTGCCCTCAGCTGAGTCCAGCAGAGGTGCTTCCACCCAACTCAACTTACCTTCCTCCCTCCTTCTCTCTCCTGTAGGCAGCCATGAGCACCAACCACCCTGAGGTGGGTGCCCGGGCACCCCGGAGCCCCTGCCCACAGCCCCTGTGCCAGAGCTCGTCCAGCCTGCTGGGTGAAGGCCTGGGGCAGAGGCCAGAGCTCTGCAAGAGTGCCAGCAGCCCTGGATGGAAGGCCCAGCCAGGCAAGGCCAGCACCTGTCCACCGGGCCCGGAGGAGGAAGGGCACCCAGCTGAGAACACGGAGCAGGCATGGGCCTCCCACCCCCCCCCACAGCCTGGTGTCGTGGGCCACTGGCACAGCAGCACAGTGGACGCCGTGTCTACCGTGGGCGGTGGCAATCTGAGTCGCCTGCAGATCCCCAGTGCTGCTGCCATGCAGAGGAGCCACTCAGACCTAGTCCGCAGCACCCAGACCTGGGGTCACAGCAGTGCTCAAAAGGCCAGCCTCATCTGCTCAGCCCTTGGTAGCTCTCCTGTCCACAGGGCTCGGCTGCAGCCTGGCACTACTTCTAGCCAGGAAGGCAGGGCCTCTGCAGGCCGGGAAAGGGACCTGACCCCAGAGGATGGGACTTCGAACTCATCTTGGACACAAAGAGAGAGTCAGGTGTGGGTGCCGCCACTGGACCTGGGAGACACAGCCAGCCACAGCAGCAGCTCTCAGGCTGGGCCCAGAGCCCCTGGGCTGCCGGTCACCACCTCCTGCCATGCTCAGCCCCCAGCAGCTCTCCTCTGCAGCATGAGGGAGGTGGGGGCTGATGGCTGCTGCCACTCCCTGCCTGCCCCAGGGATCCTGACCTTTCCCAAACTAATGGCATCAATGAGTGAGTCCAGGCTGCAGCCTCAGCATGGGGTGAAATTCCACTGTCGATTGTCTGCGGGCCTTCCTGGGCACTCCCTCTGCTGTGCCCATCCTTGGGGTCCCACTAGGTTAGCCACAGAGCCTGGTGCCAGGACTAAGGATGTGTGGACTATGACCTCTGCCGGTGACTTGGTGACCATGGTGACATCCCCTCTGTCAGCCCAGGATGCTGGTGTGCAGGCAGCCCCCATGGCAGTCTGCAAGGCTGTGTCCACCAGCCCACCCCTGGAAGCCCCTGTGGCTCTGCATACATTCCCAGAGGTAACTCTGGGGTCCAGCCTGGAGGAGGCATCATCCCCTGTGCGGGACGTGCGATGGGATGCTGAGGGCATGACATGGGAGGTTTATGGAGCTGCGGTGGACCCTGAGGTGCTTGGCATAGCCATCCAGAAGCACCTGGAGATGCAGTTTGAGCAGCTGCAGCAGGCACCCACCAGCGAGGAGAGCCTGTCTGCCGAGGGCCGGAGGTGGCCGCTGCGAGCTGTCATACAGTCCCTGCGGTGCCCCAGCTGCTGCAGTTGTTCCAGTGAAGCCGCTGAGTGAGGAGCTGCAGCCCTTGGTGCTATCCTGGGCCCATGTACTTGGCTGCAGGCCAGGGACAGTGGGGATCCCGTGCTTCTTGGACCCATCTGCAGCTGTGGACATCTCTGCTGTCAGATGCCAGCAGAACACAGGACTGGAGCCTGGGTGCTTCCTGCTTCTCACAGCTGAGCTGGTTTTTAAGGGCTTGATCCCCAGGAGCCACATCTCTGCTCATCTGGGCTCTGAACTTTGGGACAAAGTTTCAGCACTGTTCTTAAGGGAGATCCTGATTTTTCTGTAAAAATACTCAACCTTCTGTTTGGTATCTTCTCAGAACTCTGCTGATTTCCCCTAGGACACTTGGTGGCTTTATTTTAAAGCAACACTGAGATATAATGGATTTATGATGTGAAAGGTGGGCCTCAAGTAACAGGGACAGGTCTTTAGGGAAGGGGACTGACATTGTTGAAGGCCTCCTTTGTGCCACATGCTGTGCTCATCATCTTACCTTGTTAGTCTTCACCTCTTCACCCCATTTTACTGGTGAAATCACAGACCTTTGGCAAGGCTGTGGCTGACATGCTCCAGGTTGGACAGCTTGATGTGGTGGCCAAGATACAAAGCCAAGGCTGGCCAAAACCTGGGGTGTTTCCCTACAGCACATGGCTGTTCAGTGCAGTGCAGTCATGAACAAGACAAATTATTGAGCCCATATTCTCTGTCAGGTTCTGTGGATTCCTTGGGGAATGAGACAGAGGCTGCCGGGGCTCTGGCTGAGCTCATGCTGGGTGGGGCACACACCAGTATCAGCATTATCGACGGGCATCAGGTGCTCTCAGAACCAGCCTACCTTGCAGCCCTTAGTGTCAGGGACTGGCCTCAGGATGGGGCCCATGTATGTTGCAGTGACTGAAATTGCACCGTTGTTACTTCGTTCTTTTGGTTTAAAGATTTATGCCCAGCTGGTGCTATTCTTCAAAGGAGGGAAGGCAGGAATAGACAGGAAAAAGGAAGGAGCCTGGGATGGGACCTCCCACCTGGTACCAAACGGCCAGAGCTGTGAGGCTGTGGAGAGCAATGAGGCCTGTGGGCTTATTTGCCCAGTCCTGCCTACGTGACCTAACGTGGGCCAGGTGGTGGGGGTCGGGACCATGGGGGTCAGGCAGCCCAGGATACTGGGCTGATTTCATTGCCCAAAGATCTCTCAAGATTTGTGGAGGATGGGAACAGCCTATGTCCTTGTTCTAGGGCTTTCTGTTGAAGATTCTAAGCTCCTGGGACAAAATCTGCCAGCCCACCTTTGTGAGGGGGCTATAAGGTTAGTGTCCTGCCAGGGTGACCCAGCATGGGAGGGACTCAGGGCCCCTATGCAGCTATGCTCACAACCTGGCCCTGTTCCTGGTACCTTGTCTGCACCTAGGAGTCCAGGACCTGACAGCTGGCTTACCTTTCCCTGCCCCCACGGACCCAGTATTCATTGAGGTGGAAATGACTCATGCAACAATGGGATAATTTTTAAAGCAGAAGAGGCATTCTAATAGGCCCAAGGAACCAAGTGGGAAAGGCATGTTACAGATCAGAATGCCTCCCAGGCCCCAGGATGGCATTTTCTTACCCAAAAATGTGCATTTCTTTTCCTGCTCCTTGCAAGGCCAGGTAAAATGCCTCCCCTGCTTAAAAATGACACTGAATCAGAACTGCTTCTGAGGGTGGGGCTGGGCAGTGGGGGTTGATATAGTGGGCAGGACAGGACTTGGCCTTGTTCCCCTTTTAAAATGTGATCAAGCAGGTTTTCATACAGTTGTGGGGCGCTGGGCACCATGCAGCCTGTGTCCTGTCTGTCCCTCTGTGTGTGGCACAGGGCAGACATTGCATTCTGGGGAGTGACACCTGGGTACCAGGTTGTATACTTGGCCCTGCACAGGAGCTCCAGCTGTGGGGACCTGAGTGGAGGAGTGGTGAAAGTGGGGCTAGCCCCTTCACACAGGGCCACAGCTGAGCAAGGTCTTGAAGACACAGTGGGGCTGGATAGGTGGGCAGAAAGAACAGCCTGCTCAAAGGCTTGGAGGTGTGTGCTGTGCCCTTCACCAGCCTGCCACGAGTCACCATGGTATGGGCTTTGTTGGGGTGCTTGGGCTGGGAGGCTGGCAAGGGAGTTCCCATTTTGAGGATCTTGGTATGACTGAGGAAAAGGAGTTAAGGGGAGCAGCAGAAGGGGTGGGTTGGGGTCAGATTTCATTTTAGGAATATTCCTTTGGCTACTGTTGGAGAGATTAGTGTGGAAAATGTGGGAGGCAGGAGCTCAGGGGGATGTGGGTTGGGGAGCCACAGAAGCGTCAGAGGGAAGTAGAGTGGGTAGTGGGGGGCTGGGCACACACACTCACACGCACAGTTGTGTGGCGGATTCAGAAAAGAGTAATTCCAGGAGACTGAGGTTTCCAGTTTGTGCAAAAGGAGAGGAGGCCACCACCCTGGACAAGGGGAGGCAGGAAGCAGGTTCAGGAGAGGTGGGTGAGGGACCATGTGTCACAGGGTCTGGCTGGGTCCAGTGATACCCTTCATGAAGAGACTTTCTCCTCTGTCATACACAAATTGTCATGAGTTCATTCTCTGGCTCATGTGTACCAGTCTGTGTCACCTCCAAGCTGCAGCTGGAGTGCCAGGGTGGCAGGCTGGGCTGGGCCCTGAATGGGCAGGGCTAGCCGAGCTGCCCACCCAGCTCACTGTGACACTTCTGTTTGCAGGGTGGGGCTGGAGTTCAGCCTGGTCTGTGTGTGGCTCTGGGGCTGTGCATGGCTGGGCCCCCAGCACACCCTCCTGGTTAAGCTGGCTGCCCCGAGATGGCATGAACTGTGCCCTTGGCCCCACTAGTCAGGCTGCACAGCCTGGGCTGATGGTCTCCCTGGAGAGAATGCAATTTAATTTCTGAATTCACCTAGAGACTGAGCCTCTCACCATTCCTTGCTGTGGTCTCTTCCTGGCCAGGCCTGACCACCAGCGGTTTAAGGTCCCAGGACATGGCCTCCAGCTTGGTTTACAGATCTCCTCCCCTCAGATTCCAGATTTCTGACCAGAGTTCCCTGGGCCCCTTCAGGCCCTATTCTTGGATGTGGTTGATTTCACTGTTTATTTTGTTTTGAATTCAAAATAGACTAAGGAGGCCAGAGCCTTGCCAGGGAAGGTGGTTGATCTGGCTGATCTTGTTGGTTTTGTCCTGGTAGATTCTGTCCTTTTCCAGAATCCACCCTAGATTCCTAGAGCTCCATGCCCAGGCAGGAATTCCCCCCTCTCTGCCAGTGACTCCTCCCTTCTGGTCACTGGCTCTCTTTCCTGGCAGCCTTCCTGGCCCCCACCAGTTGAAGCCTGGTTTCCTGGAGACTGCCACCTCTGGGCCTGGCTGGGACTCAGTGCACATTCTTGTCCAAGCTCCAGGCACCACCACCCTCACAGGGAATCACCAGTCCATCCTGGGGAAGAAGCAGTTCCTGCCAGAGAGTAGGCTACTGCTGGCCTGAGGTCACCATGCAGGGGAGGGTGGAAAAGCAGAGAATGGCCCTGCCACTGTGATGTCAACTCCTGTGCCAGCTGGATTGAGTCTCTGTCCCCTAGAAGAGCTGGATTCTTATTTCACAAGGGCCATTGAGTCCTTCCCAGTGTAGGTCCTGACACTTAGGACATTGTTGGAGGCACCATAGCTTAGTAGTCTAAAACTAGAGTTTGAATCCTGAATCTTCTATAGCTGTGAGATCTTGGTCATGTTACTAACGTCGCTGATCCTCAACTTCCTCAGCTGTATGCGAGGGTCATGAAGGTGAGGAGCAGGATGCTCACCGCAGGTGGTCTGTAGCACCTTCTTCATTAAGCCTTTCCCAGGTCTGCTTTGAAGCTGGATAGAGGTCTCCCTGATGGATTGGGAGAACATGGGGTTAGTTCTGTTGTGGTGTTTACATAGGGATAATAAACCAGAAAAAACATCTCAGAAAAGTTGATGTTTATTTAAGAAAACCAAACAAAATCCAAGTTGCATCGGCCTGTAGGATTGGTGACGGACAGGCGGGTTCTGACTTTCTTGTTCCAAGTTGGGTAAGTAACACCACCTTTTCTCACTTGCAGTAACTCTATGACTCATGCCTTGTTTCTCCTTTTCCCCCTCCAACCCCAACCCGAGATGGCTCAACAAGGAGGCCTGCCCCCTGGCAAATGTGCTCCCAAATGGATGCCTAGAAATTCATTGTTAATGTTCCAACTTTGTAGGAGAGAGTGTGAGAATTGTAGAACTATGGCAGTCTACATCTGGGGCTCAGGGTGGGTGAATGTGTCCCACTTTAAGGTGTGTACTCTTTACCCAGTTGTCCTGGCCTAGAACATTCCATTTCTGAACCTTTCCTGAGAGAAGACATAGGGTGCTTTCTCAGCACCTTATGAAGGAGGCTGTGGGAGTGCAGAGCCCATGACTATCTGACCAGGACCAAGGCCAGACCTGCAGCTCCTGCACTCACTGCTGTTGCTGTTCCTTCTCCCCTGGCCTTAATTCTTCTCTTCAATCTCACCTTCCCCTTCTCCTTTCTCATGTCCTCTCTGCCCTCTGGAACCTGTGTCTCCCCACTGTCCCATTGTCCTTGCCCCTGTTTCCTTCCCTGATGCCAAGGGTCAGCCTTGCCATACCCCTCCCACTTGGTCTCTGTGTGGTCTGTGCTGCTTCTCCCCCAGCCATAGCCGCATCTGGGCCTTGGCATTCCTGATTTTCACGAATCTGGGTCCTTCCTTCCCACCTCTCCTTTCTCATTCGGACAAAAACAAAAACGTTTGAGCTTAACAAAGAGCTTCTGAGCATTTCCCTAGAGAAGGTGGCTTTCATAGGCAGCCTGGGATTGCTTTGTCAGGTTTTCATCACTTTTTTTTGCCAAAAAGAAGAGAAATCAGATGTCAATGGTCCTGCTGGTGAGTGGCATGATTTTGGTGAGGCTGGAAGGGTGCCCCATCAGTTCTCAGTTTTGGCGGCCCTTACTGAGGTGTGGTTGGCTGGCTCACCTGCAGAGCACACTGGGTGGACAGTGCTCATTGGCTGGCTTTAGGTAGACCGTCTCCTCTTTCATGTTTTCACCATCTTCTTGCTTGACTTATAATTAGGCTGGAGTATGGCCTGGGCTTCAGTGGGAGTGCACCAAGCTGTCCCATCTCCGTGCCTCTCTCCTGCGTGGGACTGGGATTATGTCTAGGAGTCAGGGCTGAGAGGAGACTTCTGTCTTTAGCACCAAGTAGACACCTGAGAAAGTGCCCCCTGAGAAGGTGTGAGCAAGGCCTGAGTAGGGAGTCTCTGCTCGGGCTGGCATTTTCCATGGCTCACCAAGGATCTAGGGGTGCTGGATCCCTACTAGGGAAGGGTGGAAGTGTCCCCTCACCCTCGCTCACTGAGCCCCTCACCTATAGCCTGCTTTGCCCTCCCTCCATCCACTTCTCAGTTTCGGCGGTCAAGTGCTGGGAGGGTGGTGGCCAAGGGTGCCATTTGGTATGCCAGCTTTCTAAGCCCAACCTGTGTCTCTTGAGGAAGACTTTCTGATTTGATTTTCTTTCCCTTCAGAGTTGTGGGAATTCACAGAGGGGAAAGGGTTTCTTGAGAAGATTCCAGCCCTTGAGCTGCCCATTCCCCCCATACAATCCCCAGCTTCGTCCATGGTCACACCACTGGGCTGGGAACAAGAGAGGAACCTGCAGGACTGTGGTCCCAGAGGGACTGGGACACACACAGAGCTGGGCACTACTGGGCGCTCTGGCAACACTACCTGAGCCTTGCTGAACGGCAAGACAGCCAGGAGGGAAGTTGGATCCTGACTTTATTTGGGTTTCTGATATTTTATCATTTGTTTTTTGCATTAATTTTTATTTTAAAATATTCATGAAAACATAATTTTGCTTGCTGAGCCTTTTGCCATCCCTCAGATTTTCTCCTAGTTCCCCGCCTGGCCACCTCCTCTCCCTGGCCTTGGGTCCCCTCGGTCCCCTCCGTTATGGAATCGCGGCCGGGAGCGAAGAGGCCGCCGCCCCCTTTCCTCCTGCAGCCTCACACCCTCACCGCTGGCGGATGCTGGACGGCGGCGGGGGAGCAGAGGGCCCTCGGCGGCTGCGGCTGCGGCTGCTCCGCCCGCCGGGTGCCTGGACTCAGCGGCAGTCCCAGGAGCCCGGAAGAGCCCGGGCGCCCCCTCGCGGCCGCGGAGTCGCAGTCCAGAGGCACCGGGCAGGGAGGGGCGCGCAGGCCGCAAGCCCCTGACCTTGTCCGGACCCAGAGCGGACTCGAGAGACCTCCCGCCAGTCCTGCCCCGGGATGGGCGGTGCGGGGAGGTGGAGGAACGGCTGTCACTGCCAGGTCCAGGCCCCGCGCCTTCCCCTCTCCTCCGCCCCTCCTACGGGTGCTCCAGGCCAAGCAGCACAACAAGTCAGAAGATTCCAGAGAAGAGGATAGAGATGGAGATGGTGGAGTCCAGGTGGGGGCGCGCTCGGTGCGTGTGGGTGTTGGTTTGCCTTTGGGTTTAAATTTACCTAGAGCCTCTTAATGTGCCTGGTGGTCCCACTCCACGAGGGTGCTCTTCATGGGCCATGGGGAAAGCAGGTGTAGACAGCCAGGATTGTGCCTCTCTTCACAGGAGACTGACCCTGTCTGGCAGAGGGAGTATGGGGGGCAGTGGGGTGAGAAGGGCTGAGCTAGAGCTCACTGTCAAGGGACCGGGGCCTAAAGTTCACTGCTGTGGCAGCTGATTCTGAGGGTCATGTTCCTTGTCATTAATTGTCTCACTGGCTCCATCTGGTGCCCAAGGCCAGGTGGGCATGCCAGGGCTGATGGTAGCCAAGAGAGAGGTTGGACGGAGAGCCTATTCCTTATAGCAAGTCAGACAGAAGGACCCGGGAGCTGACGTGTGGTTGAAGGTGTGTGTGGGACTGAAAGAGAGTAGAACCTGCCTAGTGGTAGGCTCCTCTTCTTCAGTGGGGGGAGAGGGAGCAGTTGTGTCCAGGACAAGCACTTTTTTCTCATTTTCATACCCACAAGGCCTCTCTCTAAGCTGTTATCTCCCTTAGGGCATTTTTGGCTGCAAGTAATTGTATTATGAACCTGATATTATCTAAACAATTAGGATGTTTAATTTCTCACTTGATTCTTAATTTCACTTAAGAATTTGCTGGGCTACTGTTCTAGAATAGGCTCAGTGGCTCAATGAAGACATCAAGGATCCAGGTTTTTTCCATAATTCTGCTGTTCTGCCATCTTTAGGGTGTTCATGAGGGCTGTCTTCATGGTCACAAAATGGCTGCTATACCTCCAGACGTCATGCTATCATAGGAGAGAAGAAACCAAAAAACTGGCTGAATAGGTTATTGGTACAGACAATTAACTGATTTAAAAAAAGCATCAGCTTTTCATTGCCTGCAGATTAGTGAAGGCAATGATAATACTGGCTGCCACATTCTGACCCTAAATGAATGACAGAAGCAGTGATGATGTTTTGCGTACATTATTTTCTTAATTTCTCACAATTAGTCCTATTTTATAATGACAACTGAGGTTCAGAGAGGTCAAGTAACTTGCCCTGTTTCACAACCTGGAAACAAAGGAGCTGGAATTTAAACTCCAGTCTCTGTGAACTTAGGCCTGCTTTTTGTTTATCTTTTTAAAAATGAAAGGAATACTTATTTATGATAAGAATTTCAAACAGAGCAGACCCGGGCTTTTGTTTTTAACATTGTACATGTTCATGATAAGAATTTCAAATAGTGTAAAGTGTACAGTGAAGATTTGTCTCCCCCCTCTTTGCATTTCCACCAGTTACCACTGTAATTTCCATGGGTCCTCCAGGAAATTTCCTCTGTAATCACAACCTCAGATTTCTAAATATTTTATACCAATGAGATCAACTTGGATACTATTCTGTGCCTTTTTAAAAAAGTGAATGTATCTTATATATAATATTGCCATATATATATTCGATTTCCTCCTTTCTTGTGGGTATATTGTATTGCATAGAATGTTTTTTAAAAATTAAACCAGTCCTCTTCTGCTGACCTTTATGCTATTTCCCATATTTTTTTGCCATTATAAAAACCATGTAAAAATAAATATCCCTGTATGTATAATTTTGTGTACATATGTGAGGATATCTATAGGATAAAGTTTTCATCAGAGGGTATGATCAAAATGTCTGTGGATATTGCAAAATTGTTCTCCACAAAGATTGCACCAATAATACATGAAAATACTTATTTTCTCATACCCCTGACAAATCTGAGCATTATGAAACTTTTACATTTTGGCTAACTTGATAAGTGAAATTATCTAATGGTAATTTTGATATGTCATTCCTTTACTATAAGTATTGTTGTGTTCAGCCAGACTGCCTGAGAGTTCCTCTTTGGTACTCTCAAGCTGTGTGGTGTTGGGCAAATTGCTGAACCTGTCTGCACCTCAGTTTCTTCATCTGTAAAATAGGATAATAATCATACTTGCTTATTAGTTGGATTTCAGGTTTTAATGGCATCATACATGTAAAGTGCTAACAGAGTTCCTAGCTCAAAATAAGGGCTAAGTAAATGTTTCCAATTATTATTATCTATTTATTGACAGTTTGAATCTGTTTGTGATTTGACTGTTCCATTTTCCATTTCCATTGAATTCTTGATTTGTTAGAACTCTTTGTATATTAATCACATATGCTCCTTTTACAATATATGTTACAAATATTTTTGTTTGTTGTTTTACATTTTAATAGACTTTATTTTTTAGAGCAGTTTTAGGTAAATTGAGAGAGGGTGCAGATATTTTCCATAACCTTCTTGCTCCAACACATGGATAGCCTCCTTCATTACCAGTGTCTCCCATCAGAGTCATATATTTGTTACAATTGATGAACATACATTGACACATCATAATCACCCTGTTATATAGTTGGAGTCATACAGTATGTAGCCTTTTCAGATGGGCTTCTTTCACTTATTAATGTTCTTCTAAGTTTCCTCCAGGGTCTTTTCATGGCTTGATAGATCATTTATGTGCTGAATAATATTCCACTGTCTAGATGTACTGCAGTTTATCCATTCACCCACTGAAGGACATCTTGCTTGCTTCCAAGTTTTGGCAATTATGAATAAAGCTCCTATAAACATCCATGCCCAGGTTTCTGCATGGGCATAAGTTTTCAACTAAGAAGAATGATTGCTAGATCATATGGTAAGAGTATGGTTGAACTGTCAACCTGTCTATCAAAGTGGCTGCACTTTGTATTCTTACCGGCATGTAAAAGTTCCTGTTTCTCCAGCATTTGATATTGTCAGCTGAGTGGGGAGAGGCTTGGGGAGGCTTGCCAACTGGCATGAGACAGCACAGCAAGGTGCTGACACAGCCACTTTGAAAGCAGGCTCTGCTGACTCTACAGTCCTGACCCTTCCCACCCTGCCTGATCCATTAGAGTATGTAGTGATGAGGAGTGACAGCATGAAATGTTAGTGCCTGAGGTGACCCCACCATTCTTCATTCCCCACCTCTAGACCATCTTGACCTCTTATTCTTTCTCTTCTATTCTTTCATCTCAGTGGAAGAATAGACAGGGGCAAGGCAGAGGACACAGTGAGAACCTGTTTGTTCAAAGGGGTTTCTCCATACCTGGGAACTGAGTCAGCTGCCAAGCGGAGGGACATGCAAGGCCAGATGAGGCTTTTTGAAGTATAATTTAAGAGTCTCTGCTTCCAGCAAAAGCTATAAAACAGCTTGCCCAAAAAAGCAGAGTCTGCTTGTCCTTCCTTCCCCCCAGCCCAAGGGTTTGCTTTTGCTTTCTCTACTCAAATCCTTCAGTTGTAAACTATTAAATGCAATCCTTCCCAGCCCTTGGCTTCCCAATATGCTTTTGCAGGCAGACTGGCATGGGAGCTGAGCTGGATTTTTCAATGCAAATTACTGTGTGGCTCAGCAGGCACACGTGCATGCACACACACATGCATACATACACACACTGATACTCTTTGTTCTCTTGTATTTCATTTCATTAAAAACATGCTGGTCTCAGCCCTGATGGATTTCACACCCTCTAGTGGGTTGCATCTTGCAGTGAGCTGAGGCACTGGCAGAGGTTTTAAAGAAAATGCCTGTGCTGGGCCCCTACTTGCCCCCTGGCCTGGTGCACAGTAGTCATACCAGGGCATTTGTGGCACTAAACCAAAACCACAGAGTCTCCTAGGCACAGAGGAAATGCCACTCCTGTGTTCATGTCCTGAGCTCTAAAAAACCAGCTCCCAGCTGAGCCATCCTCAGGGACAGAGCCTTGTCTGCTTTCTGCTGAGTTTATTTTTTAGCACTAGTTACTTAGTGGGTATGAAAAAGAAGTTGAGGTGGCTTATAACAATGACACGTGTCTTCCCCAGTGGAGGTAAGAATCCCATGGAGATAGGCAGTGATCTATGAGAATGCTTGACCAGCTCTCCATGCTGTTCCTGGATTCCTGCCACTGTTGCTCTCCTGACACCTGCAGTGGAGCCGAGTCATTGAGGGCAAGCTTCCCTGGGAGAGAGGGGGAAGTTTCTGTGATTAAACCACTGGGCAGGAATGACATGTGGTCATAATTGTACATTCAGGTGACCAAGACCTAATTCATTAATCCAGTGAGTTAATGGATCCATTCACCCATTCACTCAATAAATGCTTTCTGGTGTGTCCAGCTCAGGCCTTGTGTGTAGTGGTATCAGCTTAAGATACAAGGAACATCTTATTGTCCTCAATGGTCTTCGCTAACCAGGCATCCAAAAGCACTTACCCTGTGGATGCGGCCTCTGGCACCTCTTTCTACCTCCAGGCTTCTCCCTGCCTGGGGGCAGTGTAATGGCCAAGGTGACAACAAGAGATGCAACATGAAGGAGGCATGTCCCAGGTTGGCCACCCAGGCACTACCGTGGGGACCGTTTTGGGACCCGCCCACTATGAGCAGCTCTGTGTCACCTGGGCATAAAGACTTCTGCCCTGGTCAACTTGCTGCCTCCCAGATGCCACCTACCTGACTGGTAATCCCAGCCAGCTGTGGATCACATGTTTATGAGTTGCATTAACAGAGCAAGGAGGATCTGAGAGAGGGTATGGGAGAGAGTGAGAGAGAAGGGAGAGAGGAGGGGAGAAAGATGGAGCGACAGAGACAGTGAAGCACAGAAAAGAGGCAGGATGACCCGGTGACACACTTAGCCCACATTTTCTGGTTTAACCTCCAAGACCCCTGTCCTGGTGACCCCCCACAGGCTCCAAGGCACTAGAACTGCTGGCCGCCATACAAGGAAGGACAAGCAGGGAGAGATGGAATGCGGAACAGAGAGCAGAGAGATGGACATAGAGAGATGGGGTATTGGTTTGCTGGGGCTGTTACAACCAGGAGCTTTAGATGGACTTGCTTAAACAACAGAAATCTACCGTCCCACAGTTCTGGGGTCCAGAGGTTCAAGATCAAGAGGTTGCCAGGGGGGTTCCTTCCGAGGG